CAATCCGAATTGGGGAGGGGGCCGACCCCCCTTTCCTTCTTCCCCTCTTCCCTTTCCTTCCCCTCCTAGTTGGACTAGGAAAGGGAGGAACCTACTCCTAGTAGGAGTAGGATTCCCCCTTGGGACGCACCCTATGAGGCCGGCCGACCCCTTCCTCCACTCCTTTATATATGGGGAAAGGGAGCACCCCATAGGCACACAAGTTGATTTCTTAGCCGTGTGTGGTGCCCCCTCCACAGATTTCCACCTCGGTCATATTGTCGTAGTGCTTAGGTGAAGCCCTATGTTGGTAACTTCATCATCACCGTCAACACGCCGTCATACTGACGAAACTCTCCCTCGGCCTCAGCTGGATCTAGAGTTCGAGGGATGTCACCGAGCTAAACGTGTGTAGATCGCGGAGGTGCCGTGCGTTCAGTACTTGATCGGTTGGATCGCGAAGACGTTCGACTCCATCAACCGCGTTACTCAACGCTTCCGCTTTCGGTCTACGAGGTTACATAGACACACTCTCCCCTCTCGTTGCTATGCATCCCTAGATAGATCTTGCATGATCGTAGAATTTTTTTTGAAATACTGCGTTCCCCAACACAGCCGTCGTTGGTTGAAGCTTTCTTATTTTCATAGTGTCTAGTTGTATCTTTCTCTCTCAATGGTTGGAGCTTCTTCCAACAACCGTTGAAGCTTTTCTACCAAAAGTTATAGCTATTTTCTTTTTAGCAGCGCTTGGTCAAGGCTTTTTGTGTCATTTCGGTTGAAGCTTTTTTCATCAAGGTTGTAGCATTTCATGTCAACGATTGTAGCTTTCCGGCGATGGCGCTGACCGCTTGTAGCTTTCTCTACATCCGGTTGAAGCTTTTCATCTAGGGTGATGAAGTTTTTTTTAAACGGTTGCAACATGAGGGGGTGCGACAGTTTTGCAGAAGCCTCCGATGTCGTCCATCGCCGCCCGGCTCGTCGGCGGTGAGGCAGAAGCACGAGGCGCGTGGGAGTTGCAACCGACGAGAATGGGATTGGTCAACGGCCTTGCTGCATCCAATGGCAAGCGGGGCTGCAAGCATGGTGGTGTGAGATCTACATCCATGGCCGGCAGGGATTCGATCTTCCATGGCCGACGGCGAGCTACTCACGCGCTGCAGCGATGGAGGCAGGAGATGCGGGCGTCGGCGCTGCGTGCTGCAACGACGGAGGCAGGAGACAAGGATGGGGCGAGATCCGTGGAGCTGGGAGACGGGGATGGGGTGGGATCCGCGGGAGGTTGAAGAAAAGCAGCGATTTGGATGGCCCACATCCTGCGTGTCACTTGGTGGATGGCTGGGGCGGAGCACGCGTGGACGCGACCGACGCAAAGTTCGGCCGGCGCGCCGTTGCCAAACATTTACCTTTTTCTTTTCTTTAGGCATTCCCCTATTTTTTTTTAAAAAAAACACGCTCTGAAAATGCTTGACACTGACCGCCCGATCTCGGCCGCACAACTGCGTGGTTCCAGGGAGTAACCGCCAACAAATGATAAATAAGTGACCTGGGAGAAAGTCTGCAAACCTTTGTGTTTTGGAAGCTAGGGAGTTAAAAGGACTTGAAGATGCAGTCGCTCGCCCTCAGGGTGCGTTGGGACTGGGAGTGGCTGGTGCGCACGCAGCCGAAGCGGCCCTGGCAAGGCTTGCCTATGTCGCAGGATGTGATGGCCGCGGAGGTGTTCAACAGTTTGGCGCAGATCATGGTTGGCTCGGGGAGCTTGGTGCGCTTCTGGATTGATCGCTGGATTGGAGGTTGCTCAGTTGAAAACCTAGCTCCACTGGTGCTGGCTAAGGTTGCACCCTCGACTCAAGCAGCTCGTTTGGTGCAACAAGGGCTGTGTGACTCCCGCTGGGTTGCTGATATCGCACCTTTGTGCCTGCCGACTCCCGAGGGAAGGGCAACGATACACTATCCTCTGGCATGCGATCCAAGGGGTTTAGAGACATGCCACTGCCTTGACAAATTCTGGTGGCCTTGGACTAAGTCGGTTCCTACTCCGCCAGCTTGGTATATTGATTGCTTTCCGTGGGCACGGGCAGAGTTAGGTTTTCGGCGGCGCAATGTATTTGGAAGTGTTGCGCCCCTTCGATGCAAAATCTTATTGTGGCCAGCAGTGCAACACAGTGTCTGGACTTCTGACCGAAGGGATCGTCACAGCTTTGATGATTCTTTGGTGATCGTCACAATGTACTGTTTTGACTCTTTGGTGATTCTAGTATGCTGGAAAATATGGAAGCAAAGAAACGCTCGGGTCTTTGTGAACACTAGGCAACAATGCACGGTCACGCAGATGCTGGAGGTGATCTTTTGTAATGGAGGGACTGGAAGAGTGCAGGTGCAGGTGGTTTGCAGCGTTTTGTGAGGAGTTAGCTATTGTACTAGGTGTTAGAGTGGGCGGTTTTTGGTTTTTTCTTTTCTTTTTCTGCCTTGCACTTGGGATGTATGCATCACAATGCTTGGCTCTTGAGTATGATTAATAATATAGCCAACTGCTGGCTATATAGACATGACATGTCATCAAGAGTTAGCTGATTATTAATTACTCATACAATAGAGCTCGCTATAAGGTTGGCTACAAGTTCATCATTTTTTTCCACTTTCACTCTATCTCTTTCCTCTTATTAAATGCTTTTAGTTAGGAGCACGCATAGAGGTTGGCTCTTGCATGAGAGCCTATTCCATAACTTTTTTCTTGTCTCTTTCCTCCACATAGACAAAAACGCCATGTAAGCTGGTTTATAGCCCACTACTCCCACCGTTCCTAAATACTTGTCTTTCTAGACATTTCAAATGACTACTACATATGGATGTATGTAGACATATTTTAGAGTGTAGATTCACTCATTTTGCTCCGTATGTAGTCACTTGTTGAAATGCCTAGAAAAACAAGTATTTAGGAATGGAGGGAGTATTATATTTGCTCTTATAAATTTACCATGAAAAACGTCTGTTTTGTCACGCCTAAAAATCTGACCTCTGCTGGATAACCTGATCCTAAAAATATGGCATGGAATTTGTGTGCTCTCGAAAAGAGAAAATAGTCGAGGCTAGCTGCCTACTTGCCTTGCAAGGATGGCATGCTCCTTTCGGTAACTTCCTTTTGCTTGTACGCGCCGGCGCCATCATCTTCCCTTCATTCGTGCCCGTCGCGGCGTGCATCTACCTGCCTGTCTATCCGCGTGTTGGACTGGTGGTTGTTTACCGGCCGGCCTGTGACGGCAGGCAGGTCACACTGGCCGGCGCCGAGGCGCCAACGCGGGAGACAGCGGTGCGGCTAGCGTGCTCCGGCGTACTAGCCTGCCGGGCATGCGTGCCGCGTGATGACGAGCCGGAGTGCCGAGGAGGACAACGAGTTTGCTGTGGGCAAAGCACGTACACTAGCTAAACTAGCTGCTACGATAGATAAGAGTCGTTGATCTCTTCCCTTTACGTGTTTGTTAGCAGTTAAGCAAAGTAGTAAATCTCGCTGGAGCAGTTCACTGCTCGATCTAAGCACGATGAAAGTTGATGACCGTTCATAAGAAAAAGGTCTGCGTTTTGGGTTACAGCTAGCTCACAGCCCATCAACTGATCAAACACATTACCAGTTCGCCATGTCCCTGTGTGCCACTGTTACCAGTTCACCACAAAATGTTTTTTTCTAACTTTGAGCGAAAAAATTCTAACTTTTTGAGCGAAAAGAAGAATAAATGAGTCGCCAACCGTCTCCTAGGTGCAAGCTCACTTTGGGCCTATAAATTACCCCACAGGCCACAAGACACTGCTACCAACTCACTCCTCCAGCTCCCTAGCCTCAAGCTCACACGGTCACACCAACCAGCAGGGCTCTGCCACTGCCAGAGCCAAGCAACTCAAGAACAGTAGAACACCACGATGAAGAAGCTTCGCACCACCACCGCCACCACCACTCTGGCTCTCATTCTCCTCCTCGTCCTCATAGCAGCCACGTCCCTCCGTGTCGCCATGGCTGGATCAGGTCAGTTCAAGTCACAACCATTTCCCTTCCATTTCCTTCTGATCATGTGTCTGTCTCTGTATCAGTAATGAAGCTCAAAATCTTCTGCCTGCTCCTTGTGTTCGCTGCTGTACATCTATGTTGACTGTGGTGGTGGATGTGCTTTTGATCAGCGTTCTGCGACAGCAAGTGCGGGGTGAGGTGCTCCAAGGCGGGCCGGCACGACGACTGCCTCAAGTACTGCGGGATATGCTGCGCCGAGTGCAACTGCGTACCGTCGGGGACAGCCGGCAACAAGGACGAGTGCCCCTGCTACCGCGACAAGACCATCGGCCACGGCGCGCGCACGAGGCCCAAGTGCCCATGATCCGCCACCGCCCATGGCGCCTGCATAGCATGTACCTGAACTTCATGCATCTTTATCATGTCGTACTATGTCGCGGGTCACTACTATTATATTATACTATATGCGTGTAAATCATGATCTGAAGCGTCCGGTGCATGATCCGACTGTATGTTGATAATGCGTAATGCTGGCCTACTGGTATGCCGGTAAAAATGTCGTTGTTCTGTAATAATAAACTACATGCATTATTAGAGTCTGTCAAGTAATTTCCTTCTTCTGTTTCTGTTTCCTTTGGGTAAAGTAAAATTTACAAGTGACCGGACGGACTGACGTGTATCCAATTGAAGTGCAACAAGTTTTGTGGCCCCATGAGAATGCCGCCGGCCGGCCCGTGAGTGGCATTGGCATCCAAGACATGGTATACATTTCATTTCATTGTTCATACGAGCATATATTGTTCTTTTATGAATATGAATGTATTTTGTTGGTTTCATCTCTATATCTAGGCATTTCAAGTTTTTGATAGGTTCAAGGTTCAGCATGGGGGCAAGCCATTCACCTTGAGTTATTGTTGAAAAAAAAATCCACGATTGCTTAAAGTTTAAGGAGCAATATGTGGCCCAAAAAAGATGAGAAGGCTTTATCGGTCGTCGACCCAAATGGAAGTGAGAAGAGGCCGAGTGGGAAGATCAATTTCAACATGGATGCAAAGCGTGATGCTTTGACACTCACCTTGCAAGAAACTTTGAAGGGGTTTATGACCCAAAATGAGGTGTTAAGTGAGAAGAGAGGAAGCACCAAGACAAAGAGGAGGCAATGAACATCTTCTTTGACATACAAAAGAAGAAGCTCGAGATCGATGAAACCAATGCTAAGTCAAGAGCCAAAGAGGTGGAGCTCACGCTAGTCTCCAATGGAATGGAGATCATGAAGGCCGACACAAGCAAAACGACACCCCAAAAAATGAAGTCTTCGTTTGAGGGAAAACAAAAGTTCATCCAAGACCGTGATCATTTTTTATTTCATGAACCAGGGCCAAGATGTATGAACTATGGTCGTGGCATGCAGGGCTCGTGTGATCTTTTTGGTGCAATGTTGTATGCTGGCATGGCATATGGTACTATGCGAAAATGCTAGATTTATTTTGTTATCTAATTTGCTATATTTGATGATGAAACTATATTTGTTAAAAATATGACTGAGACGGACTAAATTGGTCACTTGGTTGTGCACACATTAAAAAAAAACACTAACACGAAGCGGATGCCGACCAAACTGACGACATATATTTAGAAATGTATTTTCTAAAGTGGCATCATAAGTATTCGGATTTATCCATCTATTCCATGCTTTTTTGGGTAACTTCTTTACTTGTACACACTGGTGTCATCATCTACGCTTCATTGGTGCCTCACCAACGGCAACCCGTAAATTTCCTCCTGTATCCGCCCGTGGTCAATGGGGAACAGTCCACGGACATGGATGCAGGAGGACGCGATCCAACCGTAGCCACATACATTTCAAACTCTTTTTCATCAAACATGATGAAATTCGTGCAAACAAGGCGAATTTCATATAAACATGACGGATTTCATACAAAACGGACGAAAACAGTTATATTTTGGACATATTTTCAACTAAAAAGCTAAAACTATGTGCACATACGGTCGCGCGGAGCTCCACTCCCACGACACGGATACACTACACTAGTCTACGGCCAGCCGCGGCTTGTCTTTCCCATGTCCGGCAGCCCACTAACCGGACTGCCGGGAGCCCTGGAGGCACATTCTTCCCCGTATCTTCCCTTCCCTATGTCCAGCTGCGCCGCCATTCAAGCGGCAAAGAGGGTGCTTCAGCCAGAGGGGGAAGGGTGCTTCTATGGAGTTTAGGCGGGTGCTCAGGATGGTATAAGATAAAGGGGAACATATCAGGTAACCGGTGGTGGCCTTTCTAAGACCCAAGCGGCGGTAGCCTCCTGTGTTTTTACTTCTCCCGGATGATGGCGGCGGGCGCGAACATGTTGGCCGCCACCTCGTCCACATCCGCGTAGCCGGCTTCTTTCTCCGCGTGCATAGCGCGGCTACATGTGCGTCGACGGTGGATGGCGCGGTCGCATGCACTCAATGCAGCAATGCCCATGCCACCATGCTCCATGCCGGGCCGGTGCGGAGCAACTCGCCACTCCTCATCGAGTTGGCCTGGAGCGGCGGCGAGTTGCTGAACAACTAGGCGGCTTGGGGCGGCAACTTGCTCCGTCGGGTCAGAGGCGGGAGGTGGAGCAGCGAGCTGCCTCGCTTGTATCCGGCGGGCATGGCGGGCCACCCAGCCGGCTTGTATGCCAGAGAATTGCTCTTCGGAAGCCATCGGAACAGTGGTGAAGAAGGAGATGGGGGGAGCGGCGGAGGGGTGCGATTCTTGCTCACCGTCTGGCCTTGTTTATATAGAAGGCGGACAGAAAGAGCTCGGTCAGTGTTGTGTTTAATGTCGGCCCGCTCATAAACGGACGTGTGACCGGAGTAGGTTTCTCAGCTTTCACGCGGGTTTAATGGAGGCGTATGAATGTGGCGAGGAGGCTCGTTCCGCCAGGCGTGCATTAGACGACTCTTCAATGGTGGAGACAGTAAGAGGCCGCGTCCGCCCTGAGCCGTCTTCAATGTGAAGCGTGCTCTACAGCGGCATGAATGTGGACAGCTGGCGCCGGGTGGGATCCGTGGGCGAAAGGAGGTTTTGGTGGGTCAGGGCGGTCAGAAGCGAGCTCGGAATCGATCCGAATTCCCACAAATCTTCCCCACATTTATCTTCAATTTGTGAGGGAAATTGTGTCCAGACCGCTCTGCGGATCAATACAGATCGGCATTGAATTGCTTTCGTGAACAGCGCGGTGTAAGCGATATGCGGTTTACGGGTCTGCCTTAGAAATGCTCATGGTGTGTGTCGTGCTGTGCATCCATCTGCATGTCTATGTGCGTGGTGGACTGGTGGTTGTTTACCGGCCAGCCTGTGACGGCAGGCAGGCCACACTGGCCGGCGCCCGCGGGATCTAGTACGTACAACGGACGGCGCCGACGCTGGAGGCAGCGGTGTGCCTAGCGTGCTCCGGCGAACTAACCTGTCGGACATGCATGCCGCGTGATGGCATGTCGGAGTGCCGAGGAAGACAATGTTTGCTGTGAGCAGAGCACCTAGACTAGCTAGCTGCTAACAAACACGTAAATGGAAGAGAACGACAGAGTGAAGTAAGGTAAATCTCACTGGAACAGTTCACTGCTCGATCTAGGCACGATGAGAGTTGATGACCGTTCATAAGAAAAAAGTCTACATTTTAGGTTACAGCTAGCTCACAGCCCATCAACACATCACCAATTCGCCATGTCCCTCGTCTCTTTTAAGTTGTAAGTAATCTTGCCACTGATACCAGTTCACCACATACGCCATTAATAAATAAATGAGCAAAAGTAGAGTGAGTTTTCTTTCTGCCTGTGAGCAAAAAGAAGAGCAAATAAATCGCCAACGGCCAAAGCTTTTCAGGTGCAAGCTCACAGAATTCTGAGAACAGATTTAACATGGTCCCTTGACCTCAGGAAAAGGTAAAGGGTAAGAGTAGATCTATTACATGATGGGGCCAGGTAATTAACATGTGTAATATTTTTGAGGGTAAAGCAATGCTTTATAAATCAACGGTGCTCAGGCATATCACCTGAAGCACAAACAGCCACGAGTCCCAACACATAACATCATTCGATAAACATGAACGACCTATAAAAGCTAGCTCATCAGCAACAGAGTTCGCCTCCCTTGAGAAAACAAAAATAATATGTGTAGAAAACCACATTTTCAGCTGGAACTTGATGTCCTCAATAGCCGCTGTGTATGGTGAAGAATCTACCTTCCGGAGATCAAGCGCCTCACCTAGCAGTTGGGAATCAGGCTCAAAGACGACTCTGATCGTGCCCAGCTCAGCCATCGTATCCACTGCTGCAGTCATGGCAGAGACCTCTGTGTCGAAGGCATCAGTAACACGCTCATGTGTTCCTGCTTTTGCCAGGATGATCTGCTCAGTTCCATCTCTGACTACAATTCCCCAGCTAGCGAACGAGCTCCCTGGCATATGCGGACCATCTAGGTTAATCTTCAGCATTCCATCACTTGGAGGGATCCATTTAGTGAGTGGTCTGTGTTTGCATTTTGGATTGAAGAATTCCATGTATTCAAGCGCACTGGCTCTGGTTCGGCGCACCACTTCCTCCCCTGGAACATCAAGTTCTCCTTCCCTTACTTTATTCCTATCATTCCACCAGTGCCATCACATTGTAACAATGTGCACTCGCTTCCTTTCATCGATACCCCGGAGATAATCAAGCATTTCATGCACACCTCTGATTTTCTCCATTGCAGCTCTTTCTTTCTCCAGTGCCAACTGTCGCCAGACTTCCTTGATGGATTTGCACTTGATGAATAGGTGGCCACCATCTTCTTCAGCAAGCCCGCAGAAGAAACATTTTGACTGCTCTAGTTTCATTCCCCTTCTCACAAGGTTTGTACAGACAACCAGTGCTTCATGCTTCATCCGCCAGACGAACATCTGGATCTTCCTGGGGCATGGAAGCTTCAAGATTCTTTTCCAAGAGTCCTCCCGTGTACTATTAAATTGGTCGCTCATGGTTGAACTGCCCCCTAGTGCACCATTCCGCTCGAGTTTGTTCAGGTGGACATGGAGTTTGTATGCACTTTTCACAGAAACCTTCCTTTTGGATCAAAGTGCCAAGCCGTGAAATCGTCCACCCCCTCTCTTAGTGGGATTTGTAGGATGTGCTGGACATCATCCGGCCAGAAAGTTTCCCTGACTAATCTTTCATCCCATGTTCCTGAGATGGGACAAATGAGTTCATTGACCTTGGTTAGCAAGCTTGCCCCCCTCGGCATGATCACTTGACGAGACCAAGCTCTCGGGATCCATGGATCTGTCCATATATTCACCTGTGCCCCGTCTCCAATTCTGTAGGATCGAAAGTATGTCTAGA